TATATATATATATATATATATATATATAAAGGTAAATTACATGAAAAAGTAACGTACTTTAACTTGATTCCTATTTATGGTAACAACTTTCAAAACTTCCATTTTGGTATCTAAGACGTAAAGTTTTAAACTTTTAAGTATCCGGGTAACTGGTTGAAGCATAACTGGTTACCATGCTGATGTAGCGAGTAATGTGGTGTCTAACTCAGTATTATTTACTATTCAATCCAATTTCATCTTATCACTCGTCACATCAGCATGGTAACCGGTTAATGCTTCAACCGGTTACCTGGATACTTAAATATTTAAAATTTTATATCTTAGGTACCAAAATGGAAGTTTTGAAAGTACGTTACCAAAAATAAGAATTAAGTTCAAGTACGTTACTTTTTCATACAATTTGCTCTATATATAATTAGTTATGTACCCGCACAATGCAGCGGGAGCCGTGAATTTTACCAATTTTAAAGTTTCACTGGTTTTATTAGAGAAGATTTAACGATGATATAAGTTACATTTGATCTTTACATATTAATACAATTTGAATAAATAAGAGTTATGGTTTCAGTTACAGTCTATCGATGAAAATAATTGTATGATAGTTTAAAATATAATATATTTAAAATCCAACATATTTAAACGACTGCACAAATGTATTCGATTTACACCAAGAGCAAAGAATCAAGAGATCGAGACCGAGAGTTTTAAAGCAATTGAATGAGAGATGAATGAATGACTCATGATGAATATTATTTTGAATCTCACCTTGGGGGATAGGGAGAAGACATAGAGGTATGAGAGGGCGAAGACATGAGTGAAATGTATCAAAAATATCTCGGAAACATAAGAAGAAAAAGTAATAATGTGCATTAGTAACTTGTACTATATGTTATTTTAATTGTATATTAATAGATTTTAAGACTAAATGCATAAAGTAATAGCAATTAATACATTATGAATTGTGTTTAAGACTTTGTATATAAATATATAATACTTTATGCATTAAAAATTGTTTTTAAGACTTCCGACAAATTTAATTTATAATGTAGCATAAATAAGCTAAAAAACGACACCGTTATTGGTTTCACCGCTGAACGTTGATCACTTTTTTCCCTTCTCTCGGCCTGCCTCTCTGGTTGATTTTTAGGAGCCTCCCCACCCTCCTCTTCACATTTCTCTCTCCTCTCTATCTCAACTACCTGGAGGACTGGGAAAGGAAGGCTCTACTTCTTCTTCAAGATCTGTTCTACAACCACCCATCATCAGATCTCACCATATTCCAAAAGGTTACATCTTCTAAGACCCACACACTCCCTTAGATCTCTTCAAATCCCTTGCTTCTTCTTTCTGGGTTTCGTTTAAAGATTCGTTTTTTTGTGTTTTTTTCTTTGGATTGTTGCAGATCTGGTCGAGAAAACCCCATTCAGGAAAGAAAGTTATATGTTTAATATGTCTGTTGTGTTGCCTAAAACTGACTCTGTTCAAATTAGGGAGGTCTGGAATGATAATCTCGAACAAGAGTTTGCTTTGATTCGAGAAATTGTTGATGATTACCCTTATATTGCAATGGATACTGAATTCCCTGGTGTTGTTCTTCGCCCGTTGACCCAATTCAAGAATATCAACGACTATAACTATCTCACTTTGAAGGACAATGTTGATATGTTGAAATTGATTCAATTAGGTCTCACTTTCTCTGATGAAAACGGGAATCTGCCAACTTGTGGGACAGATAAGACCTGCATTTGGCAATTCAATTTCAGGGAATTCAATGTGAATCAAGACATCTTTGCAAATGATTCAATTGAGATGTTGAGACAATGTGGTATTGATTTCCAGAAGAACAGCGAGATGGGTATAGATGCAAATCGATTTGGGGAACTCTTGATGTCATCTGGGATTGTTCTAAATGACAATATCTGTTGGGTTACTTTCCATAGTGGCTATGATTTCGGGTACTTGCTTAAGTTACTGACTCGAAAACCATTGCCCGAATCCCAGACGGGCTTCTTTGATTTGATCAAGATTTATTTCCCAATAGTTTATGATATCAAACATCTAATGAGGTTTTGTAATCATCTCCATGGTGGTTTGAATAAGCTTGCGGAGATCTTGGAAGTAGAAAGGATCGGTGTTTGTCATCAGGCTGGTTCCGATAGCTTGCTTACTTCTCATGCTTTTAAGAAACTTAAAGAAAGCTACTTTAATGGTTCGACTGAGAAGTATGCTGGTGTTTTATATGGTCTAGGTGTTGAAAATGGAGTTGAAAAATAACTAGGAAATGAAGTTGATTTATGATGTTTGTTTGGTTTTAGTGTTTCATTTCCTTATTTTGTACACAAATTGGCAAAAGATTTGCTTTCCTTAGGTTTCCTTTCAAGATTATGTATCCATAACCCTAAAGGGTATTATTGTAGTTTGAGTACTGTAAATTATTACAGTTAGTGTCTCAATAACAAATACTTCTTCATCTAGATTTTATTTTGGATATCAGAGTGATTATGGTTTTATTCTGTGTTTTTGGTTTCAATTCTCTTCATGTGAAACAGCTTCAGAATCCATGGAGTTTAGCAATGAAGAGTGATCAAGAAGCAGGTTTCCTTGAGGTAAAACCACTAAATTTGCTTTTATTGCGCCAGTTATTGTGGTTTTTATGGGATTCTTGATCCTTTATACTTGCATATCTAGTGTTAGATGTTATATGAGTAAATTCTTTTTCGGTTTTTTCGGCTAAGGCTTTCTGGGGATGCCGTGATGATATGGTATTTGGACGCTTTTCATCATCATTTTCATCGTGTACCCCTGTATCCATGATCAAGCGGTTCATGGAAACAGTTCGTGTTAGCACTGAGATGCACAAGGCTTGGGCTTTTTTCTAGTCTAGCCCAAGCCTTCCATACCCGGTTCAGGTGAGCAAAAAAAAGACTGGCTTGCTTGAACCGGACATGGGTCCAAAGCTATTTTGTGCGTCTCGAATTAGGAGTAGGATTGATAGGGAGGAGGATGGTACCGGCTCTAGTGTGGGAATTAGAGGACATGAAGTTTCTTTTCTTTGACGACAATCTTCAAGTTTCAATACCAGTTGATGAAGTTAGTTTCGTTTAGTATACTATATTATAAAGCATTTGGAAACAAAATAAAGTTGGTGTAAACAACTTAGGGGCTGTTTGGCAATTGCTGAATGGTTTGTAGAATGATTAAGTGGTCAGAATGATTAAGAGGCTATCATGATATAGTGCAAAACGGAAGATAATTGTTTGGTAATTGTGTACAATGAAATCAGGGCTCTTAATGGTTAAGGGATATCCATGATACAAAATCATTCAGAGAGTTTTAGAACCATTAAGAGGCAGACTTTTTTTTTGCCAAACAAGATTCACCTCTTAATAGAACTATTAAGGTAAACAAACAACCCCTAAGTATTATCTTTTTATTTATGCATTGTAGGGAAATGTAAATTTACGGAATGTTTCGGCGTAAAGCTTAACACATACCGTCATATATCTTAACATGTTTATTAGTTGGTAGAGTTTTAAGAAGTCGTAAGTGGTTGCAATAAGCCAATAATAAGGGTCCGTTTGGTTTGCTAGAATAGAATAGATTTTGCGGGATTTGGATCTCAAATCCTTTTTAATCCTGTGCGTGGTTTGCAGGATTGTTCGCATTTGAAATTCTAAGATTCATTTGAAATCCCTTATTTGATGGATTTGGAAATTCTTAGGAGAGTGTTGGTATTTCAAATCCCAATTGGGGCAGGTTTCATAAAAAGTACATGGCTTCTTTAATGTGTATACATGGAGATCTCTGGCACAAAAATATGGCTTTTTCTCACGGATTATGCGAACATGAAAAAGTCAACTTTCGTTTACTCCTGTCATAAAATCGCCATTGATTGTTTAAAAGAAAATGAAAAAAATTCGGTTTACTTTTCTGGCAGAAAGATAAATTTACTTATTTATTTGTTAATTAAAAGTAATTAATTTTAATTAATTAAAAATACCGGTGAAACTTAATTAATTATTTTTTTGATTAAAATCCATCGATAATTCGTCGGTAATTGTAATCAATAAAAATTAATTAATTATTTTGTTAATTTAACATGATTTTTGGTATTACCGGCGGATTACCGAGACACCCTCATCCGCGGTTGATATAAAAAAATATTTCGTTACTAAAACAAAACAAACATGATTTTTGTATTACCAGCGTATGGGGGTCGCTGGGGTATTTGCCAGTAATACCAAAATCATGTTTTATTATTGTTTTTTTAATAATAAAACATTTTTTGGGATTGTTGGCGGATGTGGATATCCGTTGGTAATACCAAAATCATGTTTTTTTAATGAACGTTTTTCCGACATATCCCTCAGTAGTCCATCGGAAATTATATTTCTATAATTTTTTTTGCAAATCCCCATTCATCGGTGATTAAATGTACAGTTTTTCGAAAATCGATAACAAAAAGGTAATTTACCAATAAAACGAAATTCTTTATAAACAAGCAACTAATTACAAAAAAGAAAATTTAAATCTAAATCAAAATTCAAATTCAAATCCAACAAAACAAACATGATTTATAAAGAAATAAAATTCAAGTTCATTCTAAATCCTACAAATTAAACACATAAAAGGACTCCAAATTAATTTCAATTTAAATCCCTCAAAAACAATCTTGCAAACCAAACGGGCTCTAAGTTATAAGCTTGGATTTTAAGAGATTACGTGTTAATAAGCAACATCTCAGGTGGCGTTTGGTTCGCAAAATGTTTTTGGATGGAATGAAATCTGTTAAAGGAAATTTGACTTTGAAGGAATTGGAATGGAATGTTGTCAGGTTTGACCACTTGTTTGGTTGACAAACATTGGAATGGAATCTGTTAAGGAATTGCAATCTGTCTGTTTGGTTCACAGAATATAGCTATAGAATTGGAATAAAATACTGGTAAATGACCAAAATGTCCTTTTTGAAAATTTTAATTTTTTTAAAACTAAAATACTTAAATAAAATAATTATTTAATATGTAAAACAATATAAAATACACAACCCAAATATAATCATAAGCCAAACGACATTACTAAATCGAAGGTGGTCGGCGGTGGTTCAAATCGGTGGTGGTCCGTGGTGGTTCAGATGGCGATGGTCGACAGTGGTTCAGATCGATGGTGGTCCATGGTAGTTCATATGGCGGTTATCGGCAGTGGATCAGATTGATGGTGAATCAGATCAGTGATGGCTCCGATCAGCAGTGTCCAATGGTGGTTTAGATTGGTAGTGGTCGGCGGTGGTTCAGATCAGCGGTGGTTTAGATCGGTAGTTTAAATCGGTGGTAGTCGGTGGTGGTGGTCGGCGGTGATTGAGATCGGTGGTAGTCGGTGGTGGTGGTCGGCGGTGGTTCAGATCGGTGGTAGTGGTCGGTGATGGTTCAGATCGGTGGTATTCGGCGGTGGTTCAGATCGATGGTAGTCGGTGGTGGTGGTCGGCAGTGGTTTAGATCGGTGGTAGTGGTCGGCGGTGGTTCAGATCGGTGGTAGTCGGTGGTGGTGGTCGGCGGTGCTTCAGATCGGTGGTATTCGGTGATGGTTCAGATCGATGGTAGTCGGTGGTGGTGGTCGGTGGTGGTTCAGATCGGTGGTGGTGGTCGACGGTGGTTCTGATCGGTGGTAGTCGGTGGTGGTGGTAGGCGGTGGTTCAGATCAGTGGTAGTCGGTGGTTCATATCGGTGGTAGTCGATGGCGGTGGTCAGCGGTGGTTCATATCAATAGTGATCGGAGGTGGTCGACAATGATTATATTGAGTTTTATGATATTAGAGTATATTAGGTTAAGGACATATTTGGTATAATGAAGATAGATATTCCATTCCATCAAAATACCATGTAGTTGCTAAGGAATGTTAAATTCCTTTATTTGTGGAATTTGTAGGATTTTGAAGATTCTTTTTCGTGAAAAAGAATGAACCAAACGAGAGAATGGAATTTGGTCAATGGAATTCAACATTCCAATTCCATCAGATTCCTCCAGAATCTGCGAACCAAACGCCACCTAATTCTTAATAATTTGTTCTTAATAGTTTTTATCAAATGTTTTATAATATAATAATTATTAGTTAGGACTTGTTTATGCAATCTTTTAAATTTAAGCTCTTTTTAAGTAACTTTTAAATTCAAGCATAAAAGCTTAATTGTTGCATATGTATAAGTTCTTAAACTTTCATGTTTAAACTCTCTAAAACTATAGTAAATTACGGATATGATCAATGTGGTTTACACTCACAGTATTTTTAAAATCAAAATAAATACAGATGTATAACTCATGGTTGACATTTTCACACCCATTGAATCATTTTCTCTAATGAAATTAAAAAGATTCCAATAACCCATTTAAATTCGAGGGTATTTGTTTTGTTAATATTGTCTTTATCTTTTATTTGTTAGATATCTTTTTATATTTTTTTTTACTATTTGTTTATTATTTTCCTTTTTTATCATACCAACACCTCACCATCTTTGGGGGTGTTTGGGATTGCTTATTTGAAACAACTTATACTTTTTTACAAAAGTCTTTATAAACTTATTATAAGTTAGGATGGTTTAACTTTTTCAAAAGCTCCTTATTATCGGTTTGGCACCGGTATAAGCTGTTTATCCAAACACTCGAAAGTGCTTGTTATCGATGTCACACCGAAATAAGTCAATAAGTTGTTTTTATAAGCGATACCAAACACCCCTTCATCACCTCCACAGAGGTTCTTCACCATCATCGCTTTCAATCTCAACTACACAAAAACCAAACATCTCCAGGGACCAAATGTTGTTTCAGTTTCAGTTCTTCACCCTCACCGATTTCAGTTCTTCACCATCTCTGATTTCGGTTTCAGCTACACAGGGACCAAATCAAATCATTGTTGCTCTACATCCATCTCTATTCGATTTTGTTTATAGCTTTGAATTTGGGTTTTGATTTCATCCCCAATTTTCAGTTTAAATCTTGTTTCGAATTCATTTCTAGGTCTTGACATAAGTTTAGATGTTGGGTTTGAATCTTGTTTCATTTTTGGTTCAAGTTCTGAATCTGATTTCTGTTCTAGTTGTGAATCTGGGGTTTGATTTTGGTTCTGGTATTGAACCTGAGTTTTGATTTCAGTTCTAGTTGTGAATATGGGTTTCGATTTCAGTTCTAGTTTTGAATCTGGGTTTCAATTTCGGTTCTAGTTTTGAATTTGGGTTTCAATGTCGGTTCAAGTTCTGAATATGTGTTTCATTTTATTCCCGATTTTAACATGGTTTCGATTTCGATTCTGGTTTTGAACCAGAGTTTCGATTTTAACCTGGATCTTTTTGTTTGAATATGATTTAGGGTTTGTTCTTTGTAGTTGATTTAAGTTTTTGATTCAGATACAAACCTTTTAAATGAATTTGAGCAAAATTGTTATTGAATGATCTTTGGTGTTCTTAGAGGCTGTTTGGGATTGCTT